AGGAGGTGCTGATGAGAAGGGCAAAGGCAAGACCAAGCACAAAGACCATGAGGATGCCGGTGAAATATTGAATGTGACCGTGAGGGTGATTAGTGATGCTTACATTGGCATGGAATGGAGTGTGGTATGCTAGGTTTGTAAATAGGAGTTAGATTGTATGTGTAGATATATAGATATTGGGATAAAACTCAAAAAAGGCGGGTTGTTAGATTGACCTATGCATGGCTCAATGGATAAAAATTCTTTCATGGAAAGGTAGCATTTTCAAGCTACCATCCCTCCTAGCTTTGGTCACATAACACAGTTAGGTGCATATCCAATACGTTTCATGTCACTTAATCGACATGTAAGTGAAGCGAAAACTGCAAGACTTGGCGAGAAATCTATTTCTAAATACCGTTTTAGAATAACCAACGGTGGAAACTATATAACAAAATGATAACCTAGAGATAGGATGAAATGGTGAAATATCACAACTGGGGAGTTATGATAATATGAGCGAATTCATAACAGAAAGGTGGTAGTTGAGTCTCCAATATACAAGGATAAAGAACACCCAATCGGAAAAAGAGAACGGGGGGATAGAGATGAGCAAACAGGAAGCGCAAAAGCAACATAAAATATGCAAAAGCGATAAGAAAAGGGTGTCATATCTGCAAATAAGTATTTCCAAGATCTTAGCTCATTTTCGAGGCATACAACCAAGTCAATCAATGAATCCAAAAGACGAAAACCCAGAACACCATTCGGGAACCAAATACACACATCCAAACTCCCAAATTACAGCCTAAAATCATCCAACGAATAAAACATTTCCCAGGACTACACAATTTCAATCGGAGCCTGCTGCGACCTCCCCCGCCCATGCCCCTTCGGCACGGATATTAGCTTAGGAATGACCGCCTTCTTCTCACCAAATCGCTCATCATCACGGCGCAGAGAATCACTCCGCATCGCGCTTATGGGAACAATCATCTGCTGCTTTGTTCGCTTTGCCACAGAAATTGAGCGCGCAACAGATATCTCGGCAGTTCGCGCGACAGCGACGGTAGGGGGATTATGCCTAACTGCATTTCTATGTGGTAAAAGGGACTTTGATTTTAATCTTGTATTGGGTGGAGGTTGCTTGAAAAGAGATGTGACCATTTTTGGAGGAATGGCAGCAGCTGGGTTTGAGGGTGCAGGGGGAGGCTTTCGCTGGGGGGGTGGAGGCGGGGGTTTCGCCAGTTGGTCAACGGTCGGGTGGGAGTGAAGCGGTTGAAGTGTCGAGGACTTAGATCCCGATTTCGCTTCAGATTTTGTTTGGGATGAAGTGGAAGATTTCGCCTGTGTTTTGGGCTCGGGTTCAGGCCTCAACTTTGTTTCAAATTTGTGTGAATGACTTCGAGCTTTCACCTTCACGGCCCCATTAGAAGAATCAGGTTCCTCCAATTGTTCTTTTTGGAGCGTTCGTCCATGGGCTTTTAGAGTCGTAGAGGGTAACTCAACGCGTACTCTAGGATTGAGTATTTCCCAAATATTATCATCGGGAGTTGTGATACGAGCATGTTTAAAGTTGAAAAATATGATCTCATCCTCTCTGCAAGAGTCGCTGTCATCCGATGTCGACGACGACGCTGAGCCTGTTGATAAAAATGATGACCCTTCCGGCGCCCATTGGCTTTGAGAGCTTGAAGACGTTGGCAGGGATGACATTCTTGCCTGGGGGGTTGGAATAGGATTATCCTTTGCAGGGACGATAATCTCGTTCACTACCCTGCGAGGAGATGGTGGAGCGGTATTAGATCTCTGTAAAGGCTTGCCAGGAACAGGGAAATTAGAAGCATTGGGTAACTTAGACGGTTTGGATGTTGATGTTGCCGGAAAAAGGGTAAACGTCGGCGACTTGGCTAGAAGCGGAGATGTCAAGTGTTTAGGTGGAGGCATAAGGCCACCTCCCAGTTCCGGCTTTTGCATGACAGGTTAGAGAACACCAAGGAAGACTTGAGAAATGTTTACAAACTCACTTCTTCATCATGAGTCCTCAGCATATCAAGAGTCCTGCTTCGTTTGGCCAATAATGTCGAAGGGGGTGGTTTGCCGAGTACGGTGCTGAACATTACACTGTACCTCTCAAGGTGGATATCAGGGATATCAACTGTGAGCAATGGGGAACATAGATCCGGTGCTCCTGATGACGTGGTGGGAAGAGATGAGATTTCCTTCGACAGCAAGGGCAAGTGTTTATCTTGCTGAGCACTCTTCTTCGGGCTAGATTTCAGTGACTCTATATCAATATATTTAACCAGTTTCTTAGATTCCTTCATCTTTTTCGGTGGTTTCGAAACACTCCCATCCACCTTCCCTGCTTCTTTAAGTTTATTATTCTGGAAATCAACATCATCCCAAGGCTGACAAGCGTGGTTTGGGCGAATATGAGAATCCTCTGGCGAATCGCGGCCTCCGTAGGAGGTTACGGATCGATCGTTAAGTGGAACTTGGTAAATCAGTGTATCTGGGGGAGGCACTGGATTCTTCGATTTGAAGAGGCCGCTGATTTGTTTCCATTTCGTCGCCTTGGGCTTCAACTTTTCAGCGTCTTTATCTTCCACTCCCACCGACCTAGCATCTGGTAGCGCTGTGGATACTGTACACCAGGGTCCGGGTTGCTGGGTCCTGTGCATCGTGGGGCTCCCTAACGCGACGCCTATCATCATCGTTCCATTGTCTGATGCGTTGAAGTCTTGAAATTGTGGGGAGGGGATTTGTTCCGGTTCAGATGACAACTGAAAATCGAAAGCGGGAGGGGCCTTCCACCTCTCCCGCTGAGAACCGACATTGATATTAGCGGTATTGTTTCTCTTAGAGCCTGTGTTACCAGCAGAGGATTGGACAGCGTCCTGCAGGCCAGAATAGGGAAACACAGATGCGTTATTGGGTGTACGCCGTGAGGTGGTGTCACCAGTCGTATTTGCACGTTGTCTCATTTTAAATGGTTCCATTATAACTTGAAATGTGGTTCTGAAGGTTAGGCTATGCTTCGAATGACCCAAGATAGACGGAGAGAAGAATAGCGAACCCAGAACCAAGAATGGGGGATAAAAGATCCCAAAATGAACGGACAGCTTCCCAGAAAGCCAAAAAAAAAAAAAAAAAAAAAAAAAAAAAAAAAAAATTTAATTAATAAGTGTAAAGTGCTGAGAAAAAAAAGAGAATGGGAGGTGTGTAAAGGAATGTGGGATAAGAATGACGAAGAAACAGCGGGAATGACAGGACGCAAAGGGGAAAAACTACACAACAGACTCGCGACGGCGACAGCGGTTCAAATAAGGTACATGGGCAGAAGTGGTGGCGCCTGCATGCCCTAGGTTGATATTCTCCTCCATCGTCGAGCGTTGCACCATTCAGTTTTGCTCTAAGGATATGGGACATGGATATAGGTGGATGGGTGGATTGGACCTGCAGACATCTAGATTGCTGAAACACATTGGAGGAAATAGCGCTCTTATCACGAGTAATTGTCGTAATAATAATAACAGCATAAATCCCCGATTACACACGTTTTGCCAAAGCCAGTCTGCACAACACAGTAAGCACGAGCGGTAACTCAAGGAAAGGAGATTATCCATATCGTGTCAGTTTCCAGCACTGGTAGGGCTGTCAACCATCACTGGTCAAACATTTAATGGCGACTAGGATGTCAAATTGCATCTTCAGGCCAACGGCGGGACCCAGCAAGGCATCAGCCAGTAACGGCAGTGTTTGTGCCGCGCTCTCTTCTGGGAGGCTCAAGGAATTTAATCATACCTTTCATCCCTACAGCCGCCAGTATGGCCGCTCTGATCCCGGGGTCCAACTGTGTTTGGACTAGCCAGGGGACGGCAAAAGGCTCGTCATTATCGCTTATTATTGTTGAAGCAGAGGGGCCCGACAGTTGTCGGCCAACCCGGCCAACCACAACGCTCTGTTCAAGTAAGGGAAAGATGCCCTATAATTCGATGCTGGATTCCTTAGAGTTTCTCTTGAATTTTGCTGATTGGGGGCTGTCGATGCTTTTTCAGGCGGTGTTCGACAGAAACTGCATCGAAGAGACTTAGCCCGCAGCTGAAACCACCAAGATGCCCCATCCGGAATTCGATTTGACGGCTTCCCCAAACTTTGTCTAATTGTCGCAGGGTCATTTCCAGCGAATTGGTTTCAAGGAGCTGATATAGTTAACCATCTGATTATTATTTATCGTTTTTCAAAGGTCAGGATTGATGTCTGTACAGATTGGTTATTCGCAAGTCATTTGCGTCCTCGGATGCGTACAACCTGTTTGAAACTGCCCATGATCCCCAGCACTGGGGCGGCGCAGGCGAGATTTTAAAACTCGTCCGTCCATTCTCCGATTCTGTCTTTGTTGCCAAACGTGGACGGGCAGACGTATTTTGTGCTTGCGGGGCGGCGGCAAGGAGGCTCCTCAGTCATGAGCCACGAACCACAGCAGTGAATTGTGACGCTTCGCATCTTCACAGCTTCATCATGGCTTCTGGTCTCGGCTACACATGACTTTAGCAGCCGGATTTATCGCAGGTCATAAGGACGGAGCTTTGGCCTTTCTAATGGCAAGAATCAGACACATTACAACGGCTCCAAGTGGTATCTGTGCATTTGTTGCCTCGTTGATTTATGGGATTTTCACTGCTTCATGCATAAATAATGTGTGATGACCGTCCACGATATTCACATAATCAGCCATTCTTTTAAAACAATTTGAAAGGTGAGCCGTAGGAGAATAGCTTAAGAAACCCTTGCCGACATCATGATAGACATCAAGGTGATGACGAGTTGAAAACCAAAGTGTCTTTATGTTCTCTACTGTGTTTATTGCTCGACAACACACATAACGTAGGTGAGCATCTCAGCGGTTACTACGCAGAAGTCCTGTCATACCTAACAATTTCATGTCAGCTTCTTCAAATAGTTAACTAATTAACTACTGGTACGAGGGGCGCTTGCAGAAAGGACCATCCAGCGCCATGTACCTGGGCCTGTGGTCATACGACATGGAGCCGGATCCCTGTCCTACAGCACAAGAGAAGAACTCTGTTCAATTGTGCCCTGGGTTGGAAAATGTCCATACAGCATCGTCCCGGAATCTGATGGTAAATGCCGCGATTTCCGAGATACAAAGAGCCAGGTTCCGGAGCGTGATGGTTATGGCGATGGTGGGGCAAGCGGACTAACATCAAACCTGGAAATGTGGAATAAGGGAGTCGCCGTGGGCGCAAGGGCATCCCATGGATGACAACGATCTGTTTTCTTAATCCTTTTGACCGCATACTAAGATTGGTTCAAGGGAAATGCTTAGATTTGTGAAACAAGATGGGTCTGGTGACGGTGGGCAAGCCTAGATCGAATGTTCTCAATTCAAAATGCCGGACCAACTTACTGATCACACCATACCACACGATAGATGCATGGTAGGCATACCAGGAATAGGCAAACTTCCAACAAGTCTCATCATCCATCAACGTAGCGAAGCTTCGACATCTTTCCTCAGTAGTTTGATGCTAGAGTGCCTCCTAGTCCAGCACTTTCTGAAAATCATTCCACCGAGGATTACCCTCCGTATTGGGAAGCTCGTCCGGGTTTGGCCAGTGTTTGTGATCACAAGCAGTCATATTCAAACTTCGACCATACCGCGATAGAGTAGAACACGCAGCCAAGGTTGAAGATCTGAATTTCCGCGTTTGTGTTGGTCGTGGAGAAATGTTCCATGTCGGTATCTAAGGGTGATAAGAAGGACTAATTCAAGTCCAACAGCCTAGAACAATTGTTATGAATGAGGATATATTTCCCAATGAATATCATCCACAACAACTCGGCGAGAATGAACATAGGCGAAAGTGTCTACTGGACACCGAATCCATTTAAGCCCGGAGTTTCTCTGTCGGCTGAGAGTTCTTTTCCATGCACTTCAGCAGGTCACCTTGGTTGGCAAAGGCAAGCTCGATCGAATATTCAGCAATCTAAAAACACTGGACAGAAAACGCCGGCCAGGTGGTAGACCCTTCGCAGAAGAGCTATTTTCATGGAAATGTATCCCTGTCCACCCTTCTTAATGTCCCCGACAGTATGTCTTCACAAGAAGGTCAATTTCTAGTTATGACGACGAATCTCATCCAGCATCTGGATAACATGCTCATCCACCCTGGCTGTATGGATAGAAAAGTTTTGTTTCAGTTCACTGATAAGAAGATGAGTTCTCATCGTTTCTCTTTTCTGTACAGTTTTCAAGCAGTCAGATGAGGATCACAGCAAGTCAGAGAAAGGAATTGTTGATAAAACAATTGAGTGACTTGCAGATGGATTTGCTGTCAAGATGTAACGAGGCGGCGCCGAGACGGGGTGTCAACAGCAATGTCATGTAGGGTTGGTTATAGGGAAGCCGAACGGGTGGACTTGACTAGTTAAGGAAGCAGACAAGCGGATGTCTACAAATAGAAGTGGTAATTAAAATTTGAGGGTACAAGTGATTATATAGAGAATTGTATGCGTATTCCAGTAAATCAAATATATTGAGAACGAATCGCTGACCCTCTGAACAGTGGCCAGATAGCTATCTATATAGAGCTTCTATCAAGCTCCCGTCCTTCATGGAATTGTGACAAGATGCCGTCCTACCTGATTAAGTGGGGGTAGAAGCCCCTCCTAGGCTTCATCAGTGGCGTAGTTCTCATAATCTTCTGCAGTGATGATCTATATAACCATCTTGTATAAAGGTGAGGAAGTGGAAATATCACTGAGAGGAGGCAGCAGTGCCAAGAATTATGCAACAACGCGATGTGTGCAATCGAATCATGCTCATTTAGTGTTAAAGAAATTATTATTATTATTCTTCATCTTCATTTTAAATGTACGCAGCCAAAAAACTATGACACTTACCTAGTTAAACTAGGATTTAACTATTTTGTAGATCTAATTTATAAGGACAAATTAACACACGCAATTATAGAATTTCATCCCAGAATATAACAACATTTAAACAGATATATAGTAGAAAGCAAGCTATTATATTCTCAATTTTATGAAAACTAGTAAAAGTAATCAAAATAATAGAAATTATAAACAAAACAAGAGGGAAAAAATATCAAAAATAAAAAGAAAAAATAACAATTTAGTGACAACAGTAATAGATCAATAAAAATATAAAAAGTAAAGTGATATCTAAATTTGATATCTATCAATCATATAGTTCAAATGCGGATCTTATATGAGTTTGAAATTTATTCTTTAAATGAAATATTTATTTTCTCTATTAAGTCAATTAAAAACTTTTTTTTAAACTCAGTATTAAAAAGAAAATATATATTTAATTGACTAATAAACTATTTTATTTAAAGAGCAGTTTATTAAAAAATAATCTGAACTTTTACTAAGTTTTTAAAATCACATTTATCTAAATTTGTAGAATTTTTATTCTTTTCATATGAGATTTAAAGTAGTTATATTTAAGTTTCAATTATACTATAGAAGAAAAGATTTTTATACACTTTATTAATGAAAATTTTCATTTTGATTTTATTTTATATCTTGCATATTGACTATTTTTTTTCTTTTTTTAAAGCTTTATTTTTTCACTGAAACATAACTTTTTAGTTCTTTTTTAATATAAAATTAAAAGATAATTTTTTGAGTTATTTTTTGAATTTTAGTATAAATTTTTACTATTATATTGTAAAGGGTTAAGCTCTAAGAACTAAAGACTAGTTCTCCTATATAACAAGGATGAATTGCTTGAGAAAGGGAAGAAAAGAATGAGATGAGAACTCAAGCTTAAGCAAGCTCATATAGCATGATCATGTGCACACATACAAATAATGACTAGGCTGAGTCAGTCAGTCAGAGCAAATCTAGAGGTTCAACCTCTTATAATACCCTCCTTTTCCCTCTTTGTTGCAGGCCTCTACAACTATTTAAAGCTCTCTTTACATCTAATTTTGCCTGCTGAGAGGCCTCCCAAGCATTCAAAGCCTTCACTTCTTGTAGGAGACTTGTGTCATTCCACATAAACTCAGCCCAATCTACTCATTTAATGAGGTATTGCTTTTTCCTCTGATAGGTTCATTTACCCTGAATTTTCTCAATCTCAAACTCAGGTCCTTTCAGGATCTCTATAGTGAGTGGCTGCCAGTCAGTTTGCCTCTGACTAGACAGAGGATCTGTCATCACAGCATATAGAAGCTTTATATTAAAGACATTGTGAATGCCAGGTAGGATATTCAGTTGATAAGCATAAGATTCTATCTTTTCTAGCACAGTATATTGATTGTATTTCATGTTCAGCTTCTTGCACAGGTGATTAGTTCTCATGTTCTCTAAGCTCAATCAGATCTTATCTTCAGATTGAAAGCTTGAAGCTGAGTCTCTTCATCTATTCATATATTTCTCTTGAGATTGCTAAGCATCTGTCATTTTTACTTGAGCCCACTTCAATACTTCACAGGCCTTCCTTATATAATCATCTGCAAACTCAACAGGATTATGTAGCATTTCAACAGAGAGTGCCTTGACTATATCAATGAAGGAGATGTGGAAAAGATGTGTTAAAAAGAACAGGCTCACACTCATTGAGACAGCATCTCTATTATTGATGGCCAGCTCTGCTAGAGAGAGTCATTCACATCAGTCATTCTGTTGAAAGCTAATGTACTTGTGTAGGTAGATTTTCAGAATCTGATTCATTCACTCTATAGCTCCATCAGTCTCTGAGTGATAGACTGTGGAGAGTCATCTCTTAATGTCTAATTTCTCACATATTTGAGTTCAAAACATGCTTGTGAAAGCTGACCCTTGATCTGATACTATCATCTTAGAGATACCATGTTGAGGAATGATGTTGTGAAGGAACACTCTAGTCACTGTCTCTGCATCAGTTTTCTTAACTGCTTTTAATATAATTCTCTTGATCAGTCTGTCTGTTATAATCATGATGTTCATGTATTCTTTAGAGCTCAGTAAGTTCACAATAAAGTTCATGAAAAGCTTCTGTCACATGTGTTCAGAAATGAGAAGAGGCTTAAGCAGTCCCTGATATTAATCTCTTCATATGGTGTTTGATCTGCAAAGATGACAGTTCCTGATCATTCTTCTCACATTGATGACATAGTCTGATCAGTAGAACTCACATCTTAGAACTTCTGCTGTTTGCTCTCACCCAGGATGATTGGTAAGAGATGAGTCATGAGCCTCATGCACTAACCTGGTTTGAAGAGGTTCAAAGTCTAGCACTCACTTATGATCTTGAAAGAGAAGCTCCTTGTTCTTGTTTAAAGAGCACTCAGAGATGAAGATCTTAATGCTGAGTTCAAAAGAAAATCTGAATCTTCTCTCACAAAGAATTTGCTCCAGACACTGCAGGATCTTGTCATTTTTGTGAGTCTCATTTCACTGAGCTTGAAGAGACATCTCAGGTTTCACACTGACAGCAGTCACTATTGATTCCATTTCAGGTGTCAGTACATTAAACTTAAGTAGTTGAGCTTGTTTCTGCTTGATTCTCTCATCATTAGCACTCTGTGACATGTTCTGCTCTCTTTGAGATAGAGCATCTGGTCCAGCATTCAACTTCTCTGACTGATAATCAATTCTGAAGTTGAATTGATAGAGAATATCCATTCAACATAGCTGTCTTTCATTTAGTCTGTGTGTAGTCATGAAGTATTCTAGATTCTTATGATCTGTGAGAATCTTGAATTCCTTTACACTTTGTAGCTCAGTGTCTCATTTCTTTAAACACTCAATTATCACTAATAACTTCTTATCATAAATCTCATAGTTGCATTCCACAGGTGAATGCTTGTGAGAGAAGAAGGCACATGAGTGTAGAATGCTCTGCTCATCATATTGTAGCAGCACTTCTCCTGAGATGTAATCTGAGGAGTTCATTTTCAATATAGTCTCATGATCAGAGTCAAATTGAAGCAGAATTGAAGCAGAGATAAACATTGATTTTAGACACTTAAAAGCTTCCTCAGCCTTGCTCATCTACAAAAAAGAAACATTCTTGTGTGTAAAAATCATCAGTGAGGTTGTGATCTTTGAGAAACCTCTGATAAATCATCTATAGAAATTGACAAAGTCTAAAAATTCTTGTACATCTTTAAGAGTAGTAGGTGTCACTCATTTCAAAACAACTTTAATCTTCTTCAGATTCATTTGTATATCCTTGCCTGCTTCAATG